CGGTTTTAAATGTTTTAATTTCTAATTTCGTCCACATATGAACTTAAAATGTCTGTAAAAAATAATTGTGTTTGTATATTTTTAGATTTTTTTTGTTAAAATATGAGCCATTTATTTTTTGTGAAACGTAATAATTCATCAATCCTTACCTATAAAAATCGAATATTTTATACATTTTTAACTACCAAATAATATGAATATTTTCGATATTTTGATAAATTTCGTCATAATCTTAATTTTAATTATTTATAAAAAAAGTCATGCCTGTGGATCTTAAATATTTTTCAAATGCTATTATAACTACCTACTTAAAAGGAACTTGGTATTAAATTTCCAAACATTTTGACAATTTGACCCAACGAATAAAATTCTGCGACTAAAAGATACAGATTAAAAAAGCGGGTAAGTTGTGGATGTCGCTCTGCTGTACAGTGGGTTAATGTAATGGATGGAATTAAATTTGAATCCTATGATATATCATTGTATATGTCCCCTAGGCAAATAAATATATGATTTAAATATATGTATATAAAAAATAATAATGACGGATGGAAATAATTGTTTTTTTCTGATAAAAGAAGTTAAATAAATGAGTTTTATCTTTCAAACTTTTTTACATTTCTTTAAAATGTGTATTGTCATTTAGATTTTATGACAAAATTATATATAAAAAAAAAAAWTTAGTACCTATATTGTTTAGAAGTTTTAGAGTATAAAAACATTATTTTTAGAGTTTTATTTATAATACATTAAGATCCCAGAATTTATTTCTATACAATTTACAATAAATATTAATTATCAACACTTAATTTGTTTCAATTTATTTTTTAATTTGAATACATACTAAGGGCCGTTCTTATGATGTTCAGTTAAAGCTAACGTCACCACGTCGGAATACTGTCGGTAAAAATCTCACTAACCGTCGATGACCGTTAACGGACACTTAACCATAGGCGTAGGGCTAAGGGTGCTATAGATCACCCCCTCAGAAATCATGTTTTGTAAAGCGGCGAATAAAAACATGGCTACGAAATTATATGACTAACGATAGATTTCTAAATCTATCACTACTTCATAGTTCATATTGTCATATTGAAAGGGACTTAGCTAATAATATTAAATCTGAAGGGATTCTTAATATAGGTATTTTCCCAAAAAGCAAACTTCAAACTTTATAATATATTAGGTATAATAAATTCCTATTTAATTTTTTTTATATATATATATTTAATTCAAATACAAAATATGTATTTGATAATAATATGATGTATAGTATATTTATTTTTTTTTATTGGAATAAAAGGCTTCAACATCCCAGGTCATTAGCCTAAAAGTAATTATAAATTAATAATTTTATGGGGAAACATTTCTTTGAAGAGGGGTGTATACCTAGTAAAAAGTAATAGTATATTATTTATTCATATTTTACTTAATAATGTGCATCTTTAGTCCTTTTTATATTTTGTTCCTTTACATTTTTCTATATAGTTACATTTGTAGGATATTATATCCTGTATCTACCTCTGTACCGGAATCATTATTATACCCTTTATGCGAAGTAATTCGCAAGAAGTTGCGG